AGAGAGAGAGAGAGAGGGAGGGGGGTGTTGTAAGAAACAACGACAATTTATCAAATAAAAAGATACTACGTAAACCCACTATTGCTTCTTAATGTGGGATCGGAAAAGGTCTCAATCTGGCTTGATTAGTGAGAATTTCATATTAATTCTAACTCTCATTTCTTCAGTCTCGCCGTCAGGTATACCCGAGCATGTATCAGAAATAGTAACAGTTTATTGTTATGTCAAGTAAGGCACTCGCCCCCCAGTTGCGGGTTAATGAGCCTGGACTCGGTACTAATGGCAAGCAAGGTCGATGACACAGCGATATAGCGAGTAATCGATGGCGTGCTATCTTCTACTAACTTTATTTTTTTCTAGTTTTGATGTAATTCACTTTGAAGGCGCTAACCGTACTCTCACAATTAAAAGAAGTTCTCTTGCGGCCATGGTTGGCACCTCTGTAACTATATAATATGTCCCAGTCGCGAAAATGCTAATTAGTTTTAAATGAAACTGAAATTCTGCGGAACTCGAGCATTAACGGTAATAATGTTGGGCTCAAAGGGAACATTTTTGCAACTGTCTTGCTGACAACCATTACAAAAACTCCCAGAAGTCGGAAATTGGAGTCAGAGCAATAAATTATTCAGCTGACGATAAGCAAGACACGTAGACCCGAGCTATAGGAAACCAACAGACAATAAATTATTAATGCCTATTCTGTGATTATCGATAAGTACAATGTGTAGTACTTATGTGTAGTCTTACTTTTCTCAGCACCAGTTGGCCTTCATTGTGTCGATGTGCTTTTCCTATACTCAAACAAACGAAACAAACAGTATAATATAAAGGATTGTGGCAACAATGCTTTATTAGTTTATTTCTTAATGGTTGAAACTGTTTCCTTTCTTGCGTCAGAGGTCATATTCGTAGAGTTTAAAGGGTTTTCCATACGTACACATTATAGATTATGCTTGCTTTGTAAGATTGTGATTGTTTTACGCTTCCATCAACACAGTTTAAAACAACTGGGAGGTGGGCTGTTCTACCCTAGCTGCTCGGGCCAACTCGGATGTATTCAAATGCCAGATGAACTGACATAAGAACTCGATAAACAAAACTTCCCCACTCGAGAATCGACCGCAAGACTTATGTGAGCAACGGCAAAGAGTCTAACGACTTCACACCAGACACTGGTCAGGTGCGCTACGTAATGCCCTGCACAAATTAAAACAATCTCCTCTGGTCTCATGGCTGCGAACTATGACGTCACTCACTTGGCGGTGAAGAGAGATGAACGATCGAAAAATTGCCTCATTTGCATACGTGTAGAGATTGTCCTTGTATGCGCGAGATCAACAGGGCAAAGACGTTAAAAAAAGGAAACATAACGTTAAAAAAAACAACCAATAAACAAATCAATAACAACAGCAATAAAACAATCAGATGCGAATGACATTCATGACGTAGAGTGTCACTTGTAGACATGGCCACAGATCATTACCAATTTAGATACTTGAATAATAGTCAAAGATACAAAGTCTTAGTAGATGCTTTCTTGAATCAGGCACGTCGTTCCCAGCTAAAAGTAACAACAGGCAAATCTCTGCCTACATCGTGACGTTATGCATCAGGTAAAAATATTGTTTATGAGTTATTTATTATCGTCTGCAAACTTCTCCGTTTGTGCTTCTGGGGCCATCGTATTTTTATTAAGGGTTAGCAAGAAGTACCAGTCACGCGGCATGCTTACATTAAGCTGTATTTTACTCCACCCTCAATACAATAAAGTGTGGTGCAGGCGAATAATCATTTGGCCACAGCACACAGAAGTTGTGAGTTCCATTCTCAATTGGACAGATGTTGTTTTTTAATAACTGTCTCAGTTTGTCTTGGTTGGCCCTAACAGGCATGGCCGAAGAGCCTGCTTCCTAAGTTATCAATAGTGTGAGGTTGGGGGTGTAAACTATCTACAAATACAATAATTACAGCTACAGGACATAACCATTGCGTGCAGGAGTTCCCGAGAAGTTGCGAATTGTTATGATTACAGTGTAGTTAGCGTGTGGTTTAAGAGTATTTCTTGTCATCCTCTTCAATTGTTTCTGATTTTCGGTCTTACTATTTTGTCAGCGCAAAATGGCCTTTATTGTGTGAAAACGCACAAACTCTAACTTATTGCAGTTGATTTTCTAATGGTTTGGAAAGAAAGGAGGTATGTTGTCAGCCCCAGATGATAGCAATTCTTCACTTTTGTGAGTGGGTGGTTGGTGGGTGCTCTTGTGTGGATAGTTCCCCCTTTCCAATCGAGCTTCTATCGCCATTATCTCTCCTCCTTCTCGATTGGTTTTGTTACTCTCTTGTAACACCTCTAATCTTCGGCACCTATATGTTCTTATTGTGTTGCAAGTACCGTAAAATTCTTACTAAAACTAAAACTAAAATCAAACTGACTTTAGTGCTGGCTTTCAAGGTTAAATTGTCTCAGAATTATGCTTTTAACGCAAACATCGTAGTTGTGTCTTATCGTGTGCACCCTTCTACTTCTTTCTTTTTCTGTGAATCTGATCTCGGGTGAAAAAATAATCAATGCCAGCAGGATCGTTTTGCTGTAATTAACAGCACGGGCACTTAACACAATTCCCAGACATTTGAGCTATGGGCCCAAACGAGCAAGCACCTCGTTAATTTCTCGCCCGTAGTTACGTCGCTTTTGTCACCTGTAATTAAGTCACCCCATACTCTCTCATGCTTTTGGCTGGGGTAATTATTTCATCGTTCCTGCATTCATTTCCAGGATCGAGTTACGAAAAGACATACGCCAGAATACGTTCCCGCCCCTCTTCTACGTGTGGAGACATAAAGATAAAAGCAAGGCCTTCAAGTGGAACAGCTGCACTTTCCATCTGATCAAAGGCGGTGAGAGGATACTGTGATACGTGGAGCCCATTTTGTGACTACGTCATCAAGGAGTGATTAAAAGTTGGATGATGATCGGTTTCTTAATGTAGGACATTCTGACTTTGAGGTGAGTGAAATGTAACGATAACATCTACTCACAGCGTAATGCTCAAAGCTGGATTGGGTTACTTCTTCTTCTCTCGTTT